AGTGTTGTTGATTTTTGTAGTGATGCTGGTGGGGGGAGGACGTTGTTAGCCGGCTCAGGGGTTCCGCGAGATGGGGGGCAGGGGGAGGTCGATCGAGGTGCTGCGACTGAGGTAGTTCCGGATGATGCCAGGCAAGAAGACGCCGTGCAGACCGGCCTCAACGGTTCCAGAAGTGGTGGTGGTGGTAAGAGCGGCGGCAATGGTGGCGGGAACGGCGGGAGTATTGGCCGTCCCGAAGTCGTTGCAAGCGAGCAGGCACAATCGATGGGGTTGGCGTCGCCACCGCCATCATCAGTGGCAGCAGAGAGGACAGCCAGAAGAGGAAGCGCAAGGCAGACGAATGGCGACAGCAGTAGCAGCAGTCTTGTCTCCTCCGGCACACCGACCGTCAGCGTCGCAAGCGAGGAGGCCTTGCCAACGGGATTGGCATCACCACCACCACCACCATCAGCTGCAGCAGAGGGGACAACAAGAAGAGGAAGCAGTAAGCACGCTAACGGCAACAACAACAACAGCAGTAGCACTCTTGTCCCCTCAGACACACCTAACGCAGGCAACGACGCCACCCGTAGTCGCTCGGAAACCCGAAGAGTCTTCTCCCACGAAGCCGCCGCAAGCAGCGGCGATGGAACCATCCCCGCCAAGGGGTCTCCGCAGATAGTAGACAAGGGGCTCCGCGACGAGGACGAGGAGGGGGGGCGGGGGGGTCGAGCATCACCGGCGAGGCCGCGACCAGGGAAGAAGACGACGGGAGCAGTGACGGCTGCGGCAACGGCAGCGTCGTTGAAGCTGGGTGCGGCACTCGCGGCCGCGGCGGTGGACCAGGCCTCGTAGATCTGACTGGGCGTCGGAGGTATGACCGCGCGTCGGAGATTCGACCACGCGTCCTAGATCTTACCAGGCGTCGGAGATCTGACCCGGTGGAGATCTAACCGAACATCGGAGATTCGCCCAGGCGTGGTGGACCTGAGCGGTCGTCGAGATTCGACCTTGCGTCGGAGATCTGACCAGGCGACGGAGATCTGACCGGGCGTCGGAGATCTGACTTGGCTTCGGAGGTCTGACCAGCCGTCGTCCGTTGATGACCCGCAAGGACCGATAAGAACGGGTATCGGGTACTCGCTCATACTTGGCGAAGGATTGTGCAAGCCGTTGAGCTATTTTTGGTCCCGAATTGGTTCCGTCTTTGACCCTAAAGGAACTAATAAATATCGGGAGTTTGTTTTTTGTTTTATGTTTTTTACCCAGGCGTGGTATTTTTGTATATGATCTTTTGGAGCAGTGTTGTCGTGGTGGGACTGTGAGAGGATGTCGGCTTTTTTTGTCGCTTTATTGGCTGACTGATGTGTGAAAAATCACCCCCGAACGCGTGACGATGAGACGAGAATCGCAGCAGGATGGGCACATGCGCGGCAAACACACGTGGTGCCCCGTGTTCAGATCTCACATGTTTTGTTCAGATCTTACATGGTACTGATGTGTCTTATGTATGTGGCATGGCATCGTTGACTGCACAAGTTGGGTTGTTTTCCTTTGTACGATTGGGGTAATTTTATGGTGGGTCTCCAGTTGATGTGAGACTCCACCCGCATGCTGTGTTGAGATAAGAGAAACAGGCAGAGAGAGAGAGAGAGAGAGAGAGAGAACACCGACCGGTGCTTGGATCACATGACGCGGAGGAAACGAGATTATTTTTGGGTAGCCATCCATGCCGACCGCCGAATCTCAGGTACGCCTTTAGACTCGCGGGTGAAAGCAATGTACCACATGTGAAGCCCTTTCGCGAAGGAAAACAATACCCGGCAGAGATATGGCGATGCAATTTCACTCTCCTTTTTTTTTTCGCCCCTCCTGTGTTGGTTTGTCTCAACTATGATTCCTTGCCCAGGAAGGGAACGACAGATGGAGTACGAGCGCTACAGAGGGGGAGGTTATCAGAAGCGGGAGTTACCTTTGCTAATTTAGCTGCTGACCACTTTCTGCACCCGTACGCCTTGCATCCCCCGGTTTGCAACCAACAAGAAATAACCGGTTGAATAGATCTACCAACAGAGACAGCGCCCTCGGGTGCTCGACTGCTCTTCCTGCCTCATACCCAGCATACGTGAATGCTAGTTTGCCGGAGGTGGATTTTCTACTTGAGATTTGAGAAAATCTTGGCTGGAGAGACCACAACGTCTAGCGCCAGCCACTTTGGATGTCAGCTCAAGGGAGGACGGGTGTTCCCATCACAACAGGCTTTGGCATATCTTCGCTGGAGAGAAGATAACCTCTACCGCCAGCCACAATGAACGGCAGTTCAAAGACGCGTTTTTCCCATCACAACAAGCCTTTTGCATATCTTAGCTGGAGAGAATAACCTCTACCGCCAGCCACAATGAACGGCAGTTCAAAGACGCCTTTTTCCCCATCACAACAAGCCTTTTGCATATCTTAGCTGGAGAGAATAACTTCTACCGCCAGCCACCTTGAACGAATACGCTTTCTCCCGTCACAGCAGACCTTGTGCATATCTTGGCCCGAGATGACACAACGTCTACCGCCAGCCACACTGGACAGCAGGTAAAGCACGGGACCGTCTTGGTGAGGATACACCGTAGGTGACATGACGTAAGATGTGACACCCCTGGACCGATTTTCAAAGCTCGATTTCTCCACGATGAAGAGGATACCGAAATCAAAGGATACGTTGTCGGAAAGCTCTCTACAAGACGGTTGCAACGCCGCCATTTTCGACACCGTCACTGTTTTTCCTGCCGAGAAATCGAGCTTCAAAACTCGTTCCAGAGGGTGTGATATCTTACGCAACATACCGTAGAGAGTGGGGTTCGTTACCCAGACCCTAACGCTGATCCTACCCCCCAACCCAATCCCGTTGTAACCCGTATATACTGGTTTTCGGTCTTCGTTGACCGTTGATCATGATCATCGCTGCCGGGGTCCCGCCGTTTCCGCGTCCGTCGGGGTGCGGCCCCGCAGAATCTTCCCTGGGGCCGGGTACGGCCGCTGCTGCCACAAAGGCCCGCTCGCCGTGCTGTCGGCCATCCTTTCGCCCACCTGCAAAAAATAAAAAAAAATCATGAGGTGGTATCTACACAAGACCCTCGCCCACTTGCAAAATATAAAAAAAACATGAGTTGGTATGAATACGAGCAGAATGAATCCATGTTTTTTCGAGACATGCTTAATGCGTCGGCAAAACAGAAGCCTCTGATGCAGAACGGAAAAAAATGCCGCCAGGGGGTGCAGAACCGAAGTAACCTTGCTGCACTTAACTAGGCTGTGAAACCCGCGAGCCTTGTGGCCATTGGCGGAGGAGGACAAACGTGATTGGTTGGCAAGGTAAACAAGCGTAACTGGAACGGCAAAAAATAAAATAAAACAAAAAATAAACACCAACCACCACGACGCACACAGACGAAACCGCTGAATTCAAATACAACAGGGGCGAAAAAACACAAGATGCACAGAGGTTCAGCGCCAAACGCGACACGTTCCTTCAGAAGAAATAGAAGTTGGTCACCCCACAGCACCATAAATTCATTGCCTATCTACCACGCACTCTTATCCGCTGTGGAAGAAATGGATTTAATGTATTCTTTCTTTGTACGAAAAAAATTAAAAGGAGGTGCCAACTCCGATCGTCCAAGGGCGTTGGCAAGGAAAACAAACCCGTAGGGTAACGGCAGACGATCACGCCGCACGCAAACAAAAACGAACATTAAACCAGGGTAAAGTTGCACAAACAGGGCAAACGTGTTTTACAAGAAAACCCCAGGCGCCAACTCCGACCGTCCATCGCTGTCTGCTCCGTCCTAAATAATTTTCCTGTTACCTGAACGAGCCCGTCTGACCACTTTCCACCGGTCTTGCCCGTTGGATCCAAAGGATCTATTTCCCAGGACCCTCGACCTTTCTTCTTGGGCCTGTTGCTGTCGCCTCGATTACGCCCCTCGCTGAACAAAATAAAACGGAAAAAAAAGTTATTGAAGTCTCCTCCGCTCTGGAAGGGCACCAAAATCGTGTTGCCCCGCGGGATATCAAAGCAATCATGTCTTGAATGCCATAGTTGTTAAGACTATTGACCACGCTTCCTCGAGAGGACGGTGCATTGTTACCATAGGACCGATCACCGATGGCCATTAGTTCATTTCCTACTTTGCCAAAGGTGGCAAAAAAACGTTCGTTGGCGGGGGTCTAATCAACAACTACAGGGCATCTCCCCGCTCAAAAGACACACTATATTGCAGAAAAAAACACGGGTGTCCTTAAGGCGGAAGGACAACTGCACACCCAAGTACCCCCAACGTCGCTCCCACCCTTATCCTACCGACCACCTCACCTGCCGCGGGCACTCGATGCTGCACCCCCCCCGCCGCCGCCGGCATGACCCCCCCCGCCTTCCCGTCCCCTCTGTCGCTGCCCCGAGGATGAAGAGGCGTCCGGAGGTTCCGAGCCGGGCAGTGTGAAGCTCCGCTTACCGCTGGCCTCGTGCACGTAGTGAGTCTGGCCTGTCGTTCCGGCAAGAGAGCGAGGGAATGGTGGGTGAATGCCGAAAAATGACCATGCGCACCGTACGGCGTGGATGAACGGTAGGTGCTGAATCAACTGGAGCGAGCGTTGTTGTTTGTGTTGCTGTTGTTGATGTCTTGTACGGATGCGTGGCGTCAACATAACAGCAACGGAAAATATGACGACGACAACAACAACCACAAGCAAACAAGCAAACACGGCAGAAAATAGCAGTATCACCAGCTATTGGCAGTGTTGTTATTGTTGTTGTTGTTGTCTTCACACTAAACACCGTCCCCATCTCTCTACCCAAACACCTCCTTCTGTTCCATACTAGCAGTACCACCAGCAAGAGTGGTAGCACCAGCAACGACGAGCCAAAAACAAACGGTACAGCGCACAGCCATCATTAACCCAAACCGGAAACCACACCGCCAAACCCCACGATACAGCAGTAAGGCGGCACTGAAACGCCTTCTTACCCGTAGCGGCGTGTGTCACCGCCTTCCAGCCCTCAGGCAGGCCTGGCGTCGACCCCCCCCCACTCGCGGACCCCCCGTCTGCGGAGTCCCCGCTTGCGGGGCCAGTAGGTCGAACCCAGGTAGTGGCTCCCTTGGCCTGGTCGTGGCGTTTGGTTGAGCACGAGCCGGCGGTGTAAAACAGTCGACCTTTAAAAAAAGATGAGTTCATCTTGAGATCAAATAGAAGGTAAGCGGTATCCTTTATTTCTCACAGGACATAAAGGAGCAAAATGATGAAAAAGAGACTGCCAGACATGGAGGCGATACTAACCCGTTCGGAGGGATTTGACAAACACACACACAACATGCACCCGTCAAAGGCTCTATAAACACCTTGAAGGCCCCAAACATGCACCCATCAAAAGACTGGCATTCTCTCGTTGGTCGGCCGGTGCACATACCCGAAGGTCGAAGCAAAACAAGCCAAACCCGCACACAACCCTCCTGCACACACACACACACCACACGCACCTTGTTCCAAAAATACACGCCGCCGCTCTTGGGGTCCTTGATCTCCTTCCACCCCGCAGGCAATGGCGGCGGAGTCGAGTCCCCTCCTCCCTCCCCGGTGCTGGACGCCGCGCTCCCGCCGCCGTTCCGCACACCACCATCACTACTGCTCGAGCTTTCTCCAGGCCCTGAGCCTGCTGGCCCTGGCCCACCACCCTTGCCTGCTCCTCCTCGTTCCGGTTCGGGGGCTTCGTGCGGCGGAACCACAGGCCGAACCCACGACGTTGCGTTCGAACTCTATGTTACACACAACCCGTTGTGGTGGTGGTAGTGGTGGTGGTATGCAGCAGGAGACATGTCCGGACGGGGGGGGGGGGGGGGGGGGGGGGTGAAAAATGAAAAAAGAATTAAACCCCCGGGGTTTTAAAAGCTTCCCAAAAAGTGAAGGGTGGGGGAAATTCAAATACCCTTTCCTTAATTTTAAAAAACCAACCACCCCGTTAAATTTTCAACAAACCCCGAATCCCTTATTTTCAAAGGAAAAAAGGTATTCAAAATGGTATACGTGGGCCCATTGGGGGGCACCTTGTTTCAACATGGAACAAACTTGGGGTAAAGGCAAGGGAAAAAAAAAATTTGGGGAAAAATAACACCAAAATTCAGGAAGGTTAAGGTGGGGATTTTTAAAAAAATTTGGCCCATCTAAGGCC